TGAACGACTTGTTTATAGATAATATGCACTGTATACTGTAGTACTGTATATCTAGTGGTAGCTCATTACAAAGTAAATCTCTTGAGTGATTCTACAAATTACAGAGAATAACACAATTGAATCGTTTCTATTGGTTTCGAATAAAAATCAAATGTTAGCACCTAATTCCTCATTTACATCGGAATTATCATGTTTCATATATGATTGCCTGACCATTGCAAAATGAGTGCCGAGGCCATTTATAAACACTTGCGCTACATCACAGCTATAAAAATACATGTAGATTTTGCAATACTGAGCAGTTTACCCTCTACTCCGTTATTTCCTGAAATCAGATTTCTTTTCGGCCACGCTCATCGAATAACTTTGGCCTCTCGCCTTTAGCCTAAAGACACCCTTTCCCTGCTGGGCCAGCAGTGATGGAGCAACAGCAGAGCAACATCACAAGTGAATATTGCGTTTCTGGTGGAAAGCAGTGACAGCGCAGGCATAACCTTTTTCTAAATTTCTGCCCAAAAGGAAAGTCCCCGTCTGTAAAAACAAGACACTTACATTTAACTTGACTTCTTCTTCTTCTGATTACTTTCATCTTTGGAACAATGTAGGTTGTATGAACAGCAGTTATTTATACCATTACCTTACTGTAACTTAAAGCTGAAAAGGGTGTGTACATTTATGAATTGAAATTAGAATAATTATTGAAAAGGTGTACTGAATACATTGAAATAAATAATTACATATATGTTAAAATACACAGTTTTTCATCTGTTTTTATCCCTACCCTATAAACATATTGAAAATACCCCAAAAATCATTTAGTAGTATTTTAACGTTTTCTGATAGTTTCACAAAGCCTCGGAATGTGTACAGAAGCTTCTGGAATTCCATGTGATGGTTCCTGGTCATTAAAGGTGGCTAAATATACAGTAGAAGCCAAACAAACATTCAGTGCCTCATCGTCATGGGGAAAGTCAGAGAACTGTCCAAAAAATTATTATCCTCAACAACCCTAGTGATGGCTGTAAGAAACATATAGGAGACATTCCAGTTTCTACTGTGGTGTCCATCATTAAAGACTTTGGTGGCAGTGGAATGATAGCCTGTGAACAAGGAATAAGACACGAGAAAGTTTAACTCAAATGTTGAAAAGTGTTCTGAGAGACTAACTCTTGCGAAGGGGAAACAATTGAGAATACTCAGAAAAAGTCTGGCATCACTGACGTACAATGTCTCCATGACTACAGTTCTAGGTTGACCTCATGAATGTGGTGTCTGTGGCAGAGTTCTAAAGCATGAAAGAACATGAAAGAACAAATATGTATTTGCCAAGTAGCAACTAATAAGATTTCCAGCTCAAAGGCATCCACATGAAGTTGCTGGATGACATATACAATAGGTTTTGGATGCTCCCACCAGCAGAAAGTTCAGTAAAAAAAGATGAAGGGTGTTTTGAAAATATGTTTTCTGTTAAGACTTGAAGTGAATCTCTTCAGCTTTAGAACTGCTTTTGTCTTCTCTGGTCCTGGTGTTCTTGTCAGTAACAAATGGTTTAGGGAGCTTAAAATCAATGTTCTTGATTGACCATCATAATCTCCAGATCTTGTTCTAAAACAAGTGTGAAAGCACTTCACAAGTACAGGTAATCTGAAGGAGATGAGCTGACATCTCATCTATTAAAATGCTACAGAAATTGTTACCCATTTCTGGGGGAAGGAATAATTTGGAATGCAATGTAAATGGACAAATTTGTTTTTGCAACATCCAATAGTCCAATATTGTGAGAATAGTCCCCAACAGTCTGATAATTATTCAGGCCACAAATACCAAATGTTTCTTGTCTAAAATCAGCTAAAAATCAGAAAGTAACACCGTGACAAGGCCTCAAACCAACATTTAAAGACAAATGCTTGCAGGGAATGAGGGGTTCTAAAATGCAAATAAAAATATTTTGAAGAGAGATGTGTATATGTGGTCTGCTTTGTTCTGTAATGTCTTCTGTGTTTTCTCCCCCGTAGGATTGGGGTGTAATGATAAAAAAAGAGATTGCAAGCACTGCAGAACATGTCACACTCACTGTGGTTCCTGGGACTCTACCACAGGTATACTGTGGGGGTCCCTCCAGGCTGCAATGACCTGTACTGTTTGAGTGTGGGAGGAGAAAGACTTTTGGCATCTTTTCACTAGTAAATTTCAAACTGGGACTTCCTGCCTTTTTGTGACCAGCTGCTAGACAGAGACGTGGGTGGTAAAGAAAAGGCAAGGGAAACTCATACACATAGCCAAGTCAACTGTGAATTTCTCACAGATGCTATAAGACAGCGGTTTTTAGGAACTGATTTTGCATAAAAAGCGACAACGCAAGGTAGATTTTTGCCAGAACGCTCAATTAAAAATTAATGAAATTGACCGAAACATTGTATTGCAAGCACAGTACAAACATTAACTTTTTCCTTAGAAACATATCACATATTTCTCAGAAATAAGCTAATTTTCAACCTTGCTAGTTTTACATATAGCTACACAGTTCCTCTTAGGATCATAAATCAGTTGGATCATTTATAGGTCTGGGACACTCTGCTTTACTAATTTGAACTCTGAAGGCTCCTCTGTATCTGGTAAACTATTACAAGACATCCAGATTTCCCAGTGTTATAAAATGAACTATGAGTGTACTTCTGGATGCCCGCTTTAACAGGTGTCTTTCACACTAAAGTACGGAAAAAATAGGCCATAGCAACATTCTATCAGTTTGCCATAGACCATGATGTGAATGAAGATAACTACACTAATCCATTCAGACAAGAAACAAAACTCTTGAAAAAGTGAGTAACTTTCCCAAGATGAGTGTTGGGCAGGGAGCCAGTTCAGAATTCAGAATGCTTTTGACCCCACACCATTCATTGAGCATTTAACTACAGTACAATATTGAATATTAAAATGGCTAATATTACTCATTGCTGTCTGAAAGGTCTGTGCTTATCTTAGTCAAAGGGTCTCACTGTCAGGTGTCTTGGTCATGTCCTTGATGTCCACGCTCTAAATGAAGCTGCCTTAGTGGATCTAGCTGACAAGGTCATCCGACCGTCTGTCAGGGTAGTGGGAGAGCTGCAGCCTATCCCAGCAACCCCTGAGCTAAACAAAAATCTTCAGCCATGGGCAGAGCAGAAGAAGGGGCGGATTTAACTGACCTTTCAATTCTTCACCCAAACAAAAGTGTCCAGGGTGAGCATTTCAAATTTGATTGATAAGATTTACTTAGGCGGTACAGTGGTTCATTGGTTAGTATTCCTGTCACGCAGCTCTGGGGCTCTGGGTTCAGTGTCTGGGGTGCTATCTGCATGGACTTTGTATGTTTCCCGTGTTCCTGTGGGGTTTCACTGGGTGGTCCGGTTTCCTCCCAGAGTCCAAAAACGGCTTAACTGGCTTCTGGAAAACTTGGCCCTGGTGTGAACGTGTGCATCTGTATTTGTGTCTTCCCTGCAACGGAGTGTCATCCTGTCCAAGGTGTATCCTGCCCTGTGCCCATTGCCACCATGACCCAGTATTGGATAAAACAGTCAGAAAATGGATGGATGAACTATTTTCTTAAAGAAAACACAATCTGTATTTATACGAAATGGGATAGGTGCGGCCTAATACAAGAAATTGTATATGGCCTATGATGTGATCTTGTCTTATCATTGGAAGGGGGTGAATACCGCATGTCTGAATAGACATGGATAGATCACGCCTGAAAGAGATAAGGTTGATTAGCACTTTGTGGTCACTTAGCTGGATGGTCAGTCATCATAAGCTCTTTCATTCTGAATAAGACAAATGAAAAATACCTTCAACAAGAAAGAAAAAGTACAGAAAAACAAAATAGAAATAGGAAAGAAAAATACAATCATGTGTTCCCCTTGCTTGTTTAATGCCAAAGAGAAAATTTCCTAATGAAAAACTTTTGATGTAATGTTCTCGCAGTACATTGGGAAATTCAGCCATTGCACAACAGCATCCTGCAATTCTGTGTTCCTGAGTAAGTTTAGTTCCAGGATTTTTAGTCATGTTTAGTGTTCAGACAGATTCAGTTTCACTTTTCAACACTGTTACTATTAATTGTGAAAAGCCAAATAAATGATGGTGACAATACCAGCACTGAAATTTGCAGTGAGATCCCAAAGGAAATGTGAAACCATTTGAGAGTTTTCTGGTGGAAGTGGAGAATTGGACTGGCAAGTGTTCTTATTCATTTCCAGGCTGGCCTGCCAAAACCAGTCATGACTCCCAGATTCACTAACAAACACTGTCATTAAAATAATACAGTTTTACACCCAGCACTGCAAAGCTGAACATGTTGAATTTGCTAGTGAATATGTCTACACAGGGTGTGTACTGTTATTTTAACGAGTAGATTCTGTGACATCACAATATTTCCACTGTGATATTAACCTCAAAAACAACAGAGCTGGACCTATTAATTGCTACAATCCAACCAAAAAGAACACATAATTTTCGTATTCGTTATGTGAGCAATGCAAATATAATACTGTTTTAAACATTGCCTTTAACAAAATGAATTCATGTTGCTCAAGCTCACCTGCTGGGAATTTTAAATAGTTTTTTACTCTATATTGTTTCCTAGTATCCTTATTATTTTGATGTAATGGGTGTATACCAGTGAAAGATGGTATAGGTCGATCAGTGATTTCTTTGTAAAAATTAGAAGGAAGGAATAAGCTCATACTTCTTAAGCCCTCTCTGTAATGTATTCTATGAAGGATTTATAACATGTGATCACAGAATACCATCCTAGCAAGTTATTTTATGCACTACATATGATTTCTTATGGTATGTGATACTGCACATCACTTATTATGATATATTCTAATGTTTGGAATTCAGTGATTAACATCTAAATGCTTCATTATGATCATTAAACACAGGTTATTCAATTATAAAATAGCACATAGAGACATGAGAAAATTGTTTTGAAAGATTAACCAGAACAGTGGCAGGCGCAACGGAAATGTATTTTTATGTTTTATTAAGAATGCATATTAAAGCATTGAAAAAGGTACAGCATTTCCTATATTGGTCACAATAAAAACTGTTGAAAAGAAAAAAAAAACTGTCTACAAGACATACTTTGTCAAATGGTGAGAGCAAACCTAATATTACCGAAAACCACACCTTCAGTACAAACAAAGGCTCTTTCAAAACTATTTGTCACTGATATGAATCTTCCTTGAAGGCAAGTCCTCCTTCTAAACAAAACTGACTTAGTAGCAAATAAGTAATATGTGCACTAGGATCACCTGGTTCCCAAGGTTGAAAACATTTATAATATACCCTTATACATTTTCTAATATGACATGCTCTAAAATGTATATTCTATATAATAAATGACAGTCCCACAACCAGAATTCATAACATATTTACATCCATTTGTATCCAGACTGCCTACTGGCAAAGATCATATTAACCTTAAAACTCTAAAACACATCCAGCAAGAATTACTGATAATATTTAACATTGATTAAAAGGAACTTGGTTGCGGTAATATTGATGAAACAGCTTCAATGAATACAATAAAATAACATTTATATAATAAGTGCTTTTGTTTTCCATAAATATATTAAATTACCCTTCCAATAACATGAGCTGCAGTACCAGCACAAAGGCTTTATGAGCTACTACAGTGTGTGACTTCTCCTTCCTGCACTATCGCCTCAATACACTAAATGATCATATTTTGTTAATGGCTAGTAGTTTCTTTCTACAATAAATCCCTAAGCAAAGTCTTAAAAACACAAAACACTAAGAAAAATTGTGTTATCGGAACATAAAGATAACAGGTTCCTGCAATCTCTCACTATTCTGTAATAATCCTATGGTTGTCAAAAAACATTCCAGAGAGAGTACCACCACCTATATATTATATACATTCAAAAACACGTTAGAATATCATGCACTATTGATTCTCATCTCTTAGTCTTCACAAATAATAGCTCTAAACCAACCCTCTCTTTAGTATTAGGAAAGAAATCAAATTAAGGCACTCTAAAGCTCTGTTGCAAACTCTGGGTCCCTTAAAATAAAACTCCTGGCAGAACAAATGAATAGTACTCAACAGAAAATGTCAGTTATTTTAGGGCTCTAGAACAATACAGCTCTAGAACAAATCACTGTTAGGACTACTGAATTATTGTTTATGTAAAGAGACATGTTTGGACTACTAACTCATGCCCAAAAATGTTGCTGCTCTCTTTTCTTTGGTCTCATATTTACTGTCTTTGGTGTTCTGTACTTCCTATCTTGATGAGCAGGGCTAATGTTTAACTCAAGTCATAAAAGTTAATGAATAAAAATAGTCATCTGTTTTCCCAGAACACACAAGGTCCAATTCCAGTTAAATGTTTACGGAGCACCCTTTGTGAAAAGGCAATCATGCCGGAAATCACTATACCAAGATGTACTGATCATTAATCCAGCACTACAGATTTAGACAGACCTTGGCTGACAAAGTTACAGTATGGCTGTGCTAAAAAATCAACAGCTTCTGGGTGTAATATCTTATCTGATGGGTAAAGGCCTTGTTTATTATAGCTGGTGTTACTTCTGTGTTTACACATTATATTCATTTCTCATGTTTGAGCTGCCATGGCTTCTAATTATCTGCTTATCCTAAAACAATATTTCCTGTACATACACCACTGACTGTGGCAATCTTACTAGAAAGCGTCTTAACCCTCCTTCATTAACATTCCTCCAACATGCTAGAGGTGGAACTAAATCATATCTGTAAACTTCACATGCTTCCAACAAGATCCAGTCAAGGCCATGTTTCTAATCTGACACCATCATCACTTCCAGAACTTTCTTTTGATCAATACCAATGTTTCTTCCCAGCACTGAAGAGTGCTCATGGTGAAGAATTAGCTTATAAGGGTTAGTATCAGATCTTTCCCCCTCCCTTCCTTTACCACCTACTACACAGTAGTGAACAACTGATTAATTTGTTTCATGGAAACAACTCACATCTGTCTCATACCGACAAATGATTATTTACAACGAAAACTGGACTGCCTAACTGACAGTGGTTGTAGAGAAGACGTATCAGGGCCTAGAAAGGACATGACCGAGGAGCAGTTCCTTTGCCCTTCAGAATGCGTCGGACCTAAGGACAGAAGAGAAAAGAGAGGTTTCTGTTTAATTTTCATGAGGCGCGATAATAAGGACCACGTCAGGACAAAGAAACAGAGCAAATATTTTCTGACAAGCTTTTCATACTTTTATAGTCTCCTTGTCGGTAAGACTGTAAAAGTGTGTTTCTCACAGATAATGCCATTTAACTCCAAAACGTTACTTGCAAGCGATGAAATTTCAACTGTAAGCAATTCTTATGTAGCCCACAGTTACTCAGGTTAAGTTAACTAAACGTTCACATGGCCGGACTCCAGAAGACCCGAGAGCACCTGGTGTGCACTGTGGTCAGGTGGTTCAGGTTACCTGTTCTCCCACCGGCCCATCGGGCACCAGCTGTGCAGGCTGCTCGTTCTCCAGATTCTTGACACTGGGATCCCCGCCCTTCCTCATGAGGAGCCTCACTGCATCAACCTGTGCCACACGGTCCTGCAAGGCACTGACAATGTGGAGGGCCGTGTTCCCACTGTACACCTGCAGGGGACAGAGGGAGTTTACACATTCGAACAGCTTCTGACCCCTAGCCTGAGACGCCACAGTCTCGGAATCTCAGCTGCAGTTTTCTGACTTGTGTTTGGATAAAACAAAACAAACAACACCGCCGTTTTTTGGCGGGGATACGTACGGCCTCACCGTGAGATTATTTAATTTTCTTTCTCGAACTGTGAAAGAACAGTGCCGTACCTTGTCGTTGACAACAGACAGGGAATCGGGCTGGTCCAGGAAAAGCCGAAGGAGCTCCACATTGGCTTCCTCTGCAGCCATGTGCAGTGCCGTGCGACCACTCTTGCGGTCCTGGAAAAGAGAAACGCAGAAATGAGCCCCCCCACTCCTGCCTCCGCTTGGACTCAAACACGTGGAGGCCTGCTCCGTTCCTCGAGGAGGCCCTGACCTTGGTCTTGAAGGAGGCTCCCATCTGCAGCAGCGTGCTGACGCACTCTCCCAGCAGCTTGCTCCTCTGCAGCAGCTGCTGACCGTGCGGGGAGTGGGGCTTCTGGGACTTGTACAGCTCTTGCACCACAGCATTGTGGGACAGGATGGCGGTGTGCATCGCAGTCATGCCTGCGGGAGAGCAGAGTAAGGATGGTAGATTCATGATTGCTGCCGGTTAGCTGGTTAGCTAATGACCCCAATGTTGAACACATGAAACAAAGAGTGTCATGTCATACATAAAATTATGGATATAATACTGTACATTTCATGTTACTCTTATTGCTATTTTGGATTTTGTTCCTTTTATGTGAGTTTCAATATATCAAAGACAGGTCAGATTTAGTTTTACTATCAATTCAGATCACGAATCCCAGCAGGTTCTTTCTCCGAGGGATTTCTTTAGGATGTCCTGTCAAATCAGGGTGGGTCCAAGAATAGGACCTCACAATGCTTTTAAAAGAAACAAGCCGTCTTTCCTCATGTTCAGTAACCTTCTGAAAGAGGTGTTGTGTAGAGAACAGGCTGTCCTCCTCTGATGGCTGTGCCAATGGGGTGAGTAGTTCATCTATAGTCTGTACACTGGGATGAGGTGGACTATCTTGTAAAGCATATATATGGCGAAGCCAGATAACCTCACCATCATAATTAATGGCCTCCAGATCAAGATGTTGCCCGTTTGCCTGAACAGCTTTGTGAATTGCCTGCAAAGACAAACAAATAACCTCAGTCAGCTGCTCTCAGAATGCAAACAGCATTGCACACCATTGAAAGTGATCATTTACAGTTTGACACATTTTGCTCTGGTTAATTCTTTAATGCTTCTATTGTTTTAATATGTGCAGAAGCGGACGTCTTTCAAGACATAGATGAAGTCCACTTCACTTTGCTTCAGGAGGTCAATTTGACTTAAACGTCTGTCAAGACGTGACATAGTCTGTTAAGAAGTCTGATCAGGAAATAATATTCAACTAGTCTGACAGGCTCTTCACCGGACTCCGTGTTTTTGTTCTCGTGTTTAAGGAAATCAGCAACGGCCATCTTATGTTCCATCAGATCGCGGGGTATATTATTTGCAGAGCAATGAGGAAGTCCCTTCAGGATTGACAAGTCAAAAAACAGGGACCAGAAATGTCAGATGAGTTCTTCATTGCTTTCTCATGACTCATTATCCAAATTCGCTGGGTAGCAGGCAAATCTGTGAGGCATTCCTGCCTAAATGTGTCTAATCTATGCAAAGCACTGTCTCACACAACACTCGTGTTTTTACAGAAATCTTTTCTATGTATAAAATAAGTAATGTAAACGAACATGTCCCGAACACTAAAAGAAATTTTAAAAAGTAGCATTGTCTACAATGTAATCAATATTTTTAAGAATTATGATACATCCCAGGAGTGGATGAAAATGATCAGATTTAAGCCCACAGCCCAGGAAGATTAAGTTCTCCGTGATCAAAACCTGAGCTCCTACCGCTGGAGAAACTACACTGATGCGAGTGAGTGCTGGAGTCAAGAGTTTCGGGGACTAGCTGTATTTAGAAAGCAGGCCAAGGCTCGCTGGTGATCATGTCAGATCCAAAGGAGCGTTATAACTAGAAACAGAGCAGTGGCGACGCCTCACCTGTAGAGTTGTGGCGTGACCCTTCTCCGCGCACACGTGCAGTGGCGTGCGACCCCAGCAGTCAGCCGTGTTTATCTGAGCCCCCATGTTCAGCAGGTCCTGTACTATCAGGTGCTGGTTTGCTGCCACGCTGACCTGCAGGGCACTCTGCAGAAAGCAGGGCAATCAACACGACCGTTCTGAAGAGTCTCACGGGCACAGGATCACCCTGCTGTAAATACAGTGTCTCCGGGGTTGGCTGCAATTTCCCAAACCTTTTTTAAGGTTTCTCAACAAAGCATGGCCCGAACCGTACCTTTCTAGTTGTCTCTCTTTGCACATGTGACAGAGAAGAATTTAAAACCCCGTATCTGTAACGCCATCCATTTTAACTTTACAATTTTCCACAAAAAAACAAAAATGCTTCTTTTTTCCCGCTTAAGCAACCTAACCTGTTTCTGGCTCTGGTCACACAATACTTGCTGTACAGTGACGGTGAGGGGCACGTGTCACATTAACATTTCCCGATTCCTAAAACACTCTTAAGTTACTTTGAACTGAAATTACTTTGATAAAAGTCTAGCACATATTTTGTGTTCTTTTCTTAAGAGTCACAGTAGCGCCCTATAGCTCTTACACAGTACATGTCAGCAGCACCCCAGTACATTAGACTGCCTCATGTGTCATGCTGTACTCTCACCTGGCCATTATGTTCCTTCACATCCAACATGCCAATTGCTGCCATTTTCCTGGCGAGCACATAGGACAGTGCCCGTCTTCCCTGGGCAACAGCTATGTGGAGGAACCTATGGGGAACATTAGGATCAACATTAGAAGAGTCTGCAAGGGTACACAGCAGGCATAGACACTTGCATGCATTAAAATGCTATACAGAATGAATCAAAGGCAAGTGCCGACATGAGGTTACAGTATGTTGCTTTGCACTGTACAGGCAAAGTCATTCTTCTTAGTCTTAGAATTCCTTTCGTTTCATCATTTTGTTGCGCGACTCTTTCTCCAGCAATCAGAAACGTTTGGAATACCAAAGCTGAAACCTGCAGAACCTGCACGAACGGTACTATGATTGACAGGGTTCGAGTGTTATTGCCGTTCGTCATACTGGGTAACATGGATTAATGGATTATTTTCCAAACAGGTCTGACCTGGGATGTGCTGCTGTGCATTCTAGTTGATGTCTAGTTGATGTCTGAGTGCCCTGCTTGGCATCCTTGATTCTACGCTGCCTATCTTCTGTCCCCATCTAGCCCGCCTGCAGGTGGTTTCTACTTACGTGTCGCCATCGGAGTCTCGGGTTACGAGACAGTCCTCGCTCAAGCCAGCCAGTTTCCTCTCCTCCTGCTCGATCTGCCACTGGAAGAAGGACATCCCACCAGGCCCCAGGAAGGACCGATGGACCAGGGGAAGGTTGGGGGCAGAGAAGACCTCCGGGCCGAGAGGGGAGATGGCCCGGAAGACGTTCGCGGGATGCTGGTCTGGGAACTGCGGAGCCCCAAGACCCGACATTTGGCTGGGGATGGCGAAAGGGGTCTGAGGGGGGAAGGGAGAGCCGGACTGACCGCTGCCAGAGCAAGGTGGAAGCATCTCTGGAGGCGAGTAAGGGGACACCTCTGGGTTCTGCGACTGGGTTGCACCGTGGAGATGATTCTGGGATAGGCTGCTACCGAGCAGGACTGGGCCTGGGTTATATCCCTCTGGGGGCAGGGCTGATGGGTTTAGGTCCTGTGGGCCCTGGGATGGATTCTCCCAGTTCACCTGCACCGTCGTCAGAGAGAGGGGGCTGCTGCTGCCTTCTCTTAAAACCTGGAAGATGTCCAGGAGACTAGAATCGGTTTCCAGATTCTGGGAGCCCTCCTGTGGGTCAGGTTCCATGTAGTCATTGGTGTTGGGTGTCTGGGGGGGTGTCTGAAACAGAGGCAAGACAGAAGAACCAAGTCAGTCAAAGGCGTGGCGCAGACCTGTAACTGGTTCAATGAAATCCTCAATGAGAGTCCAGGTATTAAAGAGCCAGATTAGTTACCAGCACATTGGTGTGGAATGTTGCACTCTTCTTGTAATTCGGGGTATCAAATAGGCAGTCTGGGGAATGTCTCTTTCCCTCTCGCAGGATAGTTTTCAGGTCTGCAAAAATGCAATTTGTGCAAATATACATCAGTAATACACAGAAAGGACTCGGTACAAACACTGAAATCATCTTCTGGAGCTCTCTGGTTTCAAATTAATGATGTAATGATGTTCAAGTTGGGAGCTGCATCAGCATGCACAGACTGAAAAGGAGCAAGTAAAGGTTTATGAAACGTGTTTCTTTTCTTCTCTTTTCAGCATGGAGTAAACATTTACTTGTTCAAATTAACGAAGTCCATGTCAAGCTAATGAAATGACAAGAATGAGTCTGGCTGCATACCATATAAATTGTATTTACACAAGGAACTTAAAATTAAAACAATACAAGAATGAAGTGTAAAACTTTTTTATTTATTTAGGTTGTTCTGGCTACTACATTTCCATTTGTATTATATATATTATCATATTTAATAAATATATTATATATTATATTAAAAATCAACATTTAAATTATATGTGTGAGATTAATTCTACAGGTGTGGTTGATAAAGCTATTGATATGTTGTGAAGCAAAAGATCATAAATACCTGTGAACTGTGCTGCTCCATTTGAATTTTTCAGTACCTATAGTGAAAAAAATAATCTTGGTTATGAGGGTTTAACTCTACACCAAATAAGCATAAAGCTATTCACACAAAATATATACTGCATATACAGTACAAGCTTTTCGCAGAATTATAGCTTAATGCTTCAAACATCAAAAAGGACTTATGTGCTTTGATATAAACACTTTTCCCCATGAGGGATTATCTGTCCATGTGCTGTAATAATAATATGCACATCTATTAAACCTACACTTTGGTTCATTTATACTAAAAAATGTAATACTAATAAATTGATAAATACTTTCTGTAGGGGTTCAGACATAATAAATACATAAACCTATAAGTCAGAGCTTTAAAAAGCTGACATTGAAAAAGCCACGGGTATCTACAAAACGAAAGAGTCCGCCAATATTCGATAAATAAGCACATGCATTGTAGTTGATTTAAGGCTCGCGTTTCGGGCAAGGCGGCTTTGCCAGCGATAGCGACTGGGAAATTCGCTGCTGGCGGTCCCGAAGGACACTGCGGAAGCCCTGCCGCTGGACGGGGCCAGCGGAGCGGAGTCCCCGGGGCGTCGCTCGTCATGTTTACCTTGCCTGTGACCGAGAGCTTGTGGGCGCTCCGCTTCAGCTCCAGGAGCTCCTTGACCGAGTTCTTCACTCGCACCCCCTGGAAATGCCGGCTCTGCTGCCTCCCGCCACCCATGGGCGCCTCACCTGCGCCGGGAAAGCACAATGTCAGCTGCGCCACCCCCGCCACGTGTACGGCGGTAACTGCACGGGTGTTAAATGCGCTGTTCAGTGTCGTTAGCTTATGGGGTGTGTGGGTGTGTGGACTTGATCCTGCCAGAAGGATTCCGTCACTAGCCGTTCATAGAAGAAAATGAACACTACGGAAACAGGTAACACCCCCCAAAGCAACGATCCACATTTTCGTTCTGTCTATCGCTATCGTACTTTGTAATTGCTTCGGATTTGTTTTCCAATTATGAAAACAACAGTCCTGGGGGATGACACGTCCGTTTCTGATAACACGCTGTAATACGAGTATAACTCGCACCTCCTGCGACTGGGGCATATGCGCCACCCGCATACTCAAGACACTTCGTTTAAAATACTTTAAAAAGTCCCATTCGGATACTCCTTACTAGTACACAATTCACTGTGAACCACTGAAGCTACACGATTGACGCAGAAGTACCGAAATCAGGTCAGTTTCAGATAATATTCTATATAAACCCTCACTCACACATCATTAATAATAGTAGTAGTATTATTGTGAGGTATGCGCATTGTGGACTTTATTCAGCGTGAAGGAGTCCCGACACTAGCATTTAATTAAAAAAAATGAACACAACGGAAACAAATAACATTTCCCAAAGCTACGCTCCACATTTTCGTAATATATTTTATCTATCGCCATGGTACTTTCCATTTGTTTTCAAATTATAAAGCACCGGTCATGGGGGATTACACGTTATGTTTCGATAAAATACTATAATATGGGTATTACACACACACCCTGCGACTGGGGCGTATGCGCCGCCCGCATACTCCAGACACTTCGTTTAAAATGCTTAAAAAATGAATATTCCTTATCAGCACACAATTACTACGAACTCTTGAAGCCACACGATCTGCGCACAAGTACCGGCATCACGGCAGTTTCAGAGAACGTTCTGTATAACCCCCTACAAATAATAATAATAATAATAATAAAAAACCAAGTCATGCAACCAAATAGTGTTTCTTGTAATAATGAATGATTCCTTCTTCAATGGCTACACTATACCCGGTGCGCTGACTGCAGTACTGTAAAATTGTAATCATGTTGCAGTGTTTCTCTCGGCAATGTCTTTACCATGAGCGTTGATCGCTTGCGTGCTGCTGTGCTCCGGGCTGCCTTCGTACCAGCTGCCTGTGGACTCGCAGTCGGAGCTCGGTGAGCGGGGAGAGAGCTGGGAGCCCGGAGAGCAAGACTGCTCACTCGGCGCAGGGGAGTTCCCGTAAAAATAACCCAGGTTCATGGGGCTTGTCATCAGCCCACACTCCTGGTCCGCCATGCCCAGACTGTCCTCGACGGCTCCGTCAATTATCATTCTGTCTATGGGCCCGACTTTTTCTTAATCTTCCGTGGTTCTGACAGAAACCGAGTATTCTTGCAAAACACGGGAAAGGCGTCACCGGGATTGAAAAGATCTCTCTTTGTGTGTGTGTGTGCTGTGTTATGAATCTCTGCGCTGCTCTAACTGCCTGGGTCTTACGAGTTTCGGCAAAGTTTTATCATAAGAGTCTTAGGTTTTGTCGGTTACCAATAGAAAAAGAGAAGTGGCGTGTCGCAGTGACACCATTGGCTAACATTGTCAAGGGTGGTGCCCGCGTTGAGGTGCGAGTTACAGTAAATCTTTATTGTGGAAATAACACAGCTAGATATTTTTAGAACACTCTTTTTTTCCCCCAGGATTTTAAAATATCCGTTTTAATGAATAGGGAGCATTCTAGGACGTTTTGTTCTCGGTCGTTAGTGTTTATGCAAGAGTGTAATGCAAAGCTCTGTTTTTTTATTTAGAGGTCATGGGTGAAAACACAAATCACTTATTATTCTGCGGGTTTAACGAACCAGCTATTTGTCGTGGTGGAATTGATGAACCATACTTCGGAGCATCTGCTCCTAAGTATTTTCTTGCCAAAATCAACAATAAAAGCATTTATCGCCACAAAACAGTGTTGATACCCAAATTAAGCTGACTTGATTTAACTACTTTAAGTAGTCTCGGGTTACAGCCCGTCCAATGTAATAATCTGATACACAAGTGACTTTTAATGAGGTTTATTACAGATATTGCCGTTCTTCATTGTAAACGGAACAAGTTCATTCAAAAGCTTAAAATTAAACAAAATAAGCTTGAAAACAAGACTTAGGCTGTGAAGCCTTCTAAACGGAGTGAAGCATCGGGCTTCTGGGGCGATAAGGGATGTATGGGAATCTGAGGTAAAGGGTTAGGTAGGGAGAACCATGGCGTCCGCCCAGATTTCCCTGGAAATCGTGTTCCCGATTTCCATCTCTTCGGTTCCCTGTTTCCACACCCTCCCTGTCGTCACTTCCTGTTTTCTTTCCGCTCGCCAGCCCGTTCGCTTCGCAGTCCTGGTCACTCAACC